AACTTCCCGCCGAACGGTTCACGAACGGTTCGCTGAACGTTCGGTTCGTTTACAGCCCTAATCATGATGTATCTAAACGGAAGAAAATAAAAGGACGGCAATAAATTTATTTGGTGGGTCCATATGAGGTTGTTTATGGTGCTCTTAATTTAGATAAAGAGTAAATTACGGATTTGGTCCCTATAATTTTAAATTTATTATAAAAGTGGGCCTAGAATTTGCATATTCCAAGATAGCCCCTAGAATTTGTGTTTTTGTAACATATTGGTCCTTACCACTAACAAACGTAACTTGTATGTGTTAAATGAGAGGTATGTTGATCCTTACCATTTTTTCCTCCTTTCCAATTCCTTATGTTAAATTGTAAAACAATAGGGATATCTGTGTATATAAAGGAATCTATCTCTCTCTTCCTCCCCACTTTATTGTTGCCGTCGAAGTACCAAAACCAAAGGTGTGAACAAACCCCACACATTAAGGCATGGAACCGTCGGTTTAAGATAAATAAGAAAGTATCAAAAGAGTACTGAGCTCCTTATCAGAGGGTCGTTGTTTCAGAGCCTTGTTAGGGAAATCACACAAAATCTGTGGTGTGAGATCTTAGAGATAAGATTTCAGTTCGTTTTTTCTTATGTATAGTTTACATCTTGTGAAATTAATCATGGTAGATTTGGCTTGTTTTCTAGCTTTATGTTTCTAAATCTGGTTGATATATACATAGTAGAGATCTATTTTTTTTTATTAACCTGGATATCCAACCCGCTATGCGAGCCGACTAATCACAAGGCGACCGCCTGCTTTGCAGATAGCCCGGAGTCACCGCATTTGAACCTCCGTGGCCACAAGGAGATTTTCATTCTTCCTTGGATTTGAACCTGAGACCTCCTGGTACTTTTGACCTTTGGAGTCAAGCTCAAACCAATCAGGCACCACCCTTGTGGTTCATAGTAGATATCTATTGAACTTAGCGTATATAGTTTGATTTTATACCCAATTGTTTGGCAATAATAAGTTATGGAATCAAAATGATGATTCGCCTGTTGTGTCTCTATCTTGTCTGAACTCTGGTATAATATTTTGTACGTTTGTTCCTAATGACAATTTTTTGATTTGTAGTTGATATGTTTGTTGTTTGAGTTTCAGATGGTAATACCATTACAATTGAGGGTTGTCGTAGGTGAGCGGTCATTGGAGGTGAGGTTAAGGGCTGATGAAAGTTGGTTAGGGTGATGTGGATCGTGCGATGGCTGACAAAGTTGTTGATTATGAGACGGTGTCTAATATATATATATATATATATATATATATTTGTGTATGTGTGTGTTGTCTTTTATATATAATATAATATGTATAATTACATTTATTTAAATGAGGAAAAGACTATATTGTCCCTCATTTAACGAATGGGAGTTGAACGAGTGTTAAAGGCTAAAACAATTTGTTATGAAAATACAAATTTTAGGGACTATTTTGGAATAAATAAATTCTTAGAACCAAATTTAAAATAAATTTAAAACCACAAGACTAAATCCATAATTTACTCTTAAATTAATTACTATTTACACTATTTTATGACTTTACGATTATTTTTTATGTTATCCTCTTTCCGAATTGGAATTAATTTATACGATCACATATATTAAAATAATTCCACTTTTTAATAGTGCAACTATCCTAAATGGATCCATTTTTCTATACGATTAAAAAAATATTTTTTATATTAAAAAAACATATCGGATATTTTAAAAAAAGATCTGGTTTAAGTACTCACTCACGAAATATTAATAATTATGTATATTATAAATATTTTATGAGAAATAGATTCGTGTTTATATTGCTAATGTTTTAAAGCATAATTTGTTTCTACAACTCTACATTGGCCTTAATTTCGAGTTTATGACTGAGATGCATACTCTTATTCTCCCGATTGATTTATAAGTCTTAGGTTTTGGTTTTGGTTTTGGTTTTTGTAGTAAGTTCAGTAAGTGCTTTTAGTTTGGGATTTCAATTTCTATGAGGACCGGTTTCGTTTTAGTATTATGGTATTGTGAATCTAGTGTTTTGGTAGTTCTAGGGCAAGACACTTGGTTATGTTATGATCACGATATTTAGACAGTTATAGGATCAATATAAATATTATATACTTCAAAAAAAATATTTACACAACGTAACAAGTGTAATAAAAAAAATTAGTAGGATGTTCACAAGGTTCACATTATGTTCATAAGTGATATGTTTAGATCTAATTTGTGTTCGCAAATTATACCAAATCTTTGTAGATTTAAAGTGTTCACAATGTTTTTTCAAACAATAATATTATTTCTAAAAAGTTGTTTACAATATGTTTATCGTTCATATTTCGTTATTCATATTTCGTTATTCATATACGTGTATGTTATGAAAAGATGATAGAGAATAAATAAAAGTGATGACAAAGTGTAGAAATATATTTTTTTTAATTCTTATTAAAAAAAATTCAACTAATTTTTCATAGTTTAAGAGGGTGTTTAAGATTGCTTATTTGAAACAACTTATATTTTTCTACAAAAGTGTTTATCAACGTATTATAAGTTAAAATGGTTTAACTTCTTAAAAAACTTCTTATTACCGGTATAAGTTGTTTATCCAAATACTCAAAAATGCTTATTACCGATATCACAACAAAATAAATTAATAAATTATTTTTATAAACAATCTCCGACACTCTTCGAATATCAAAACCATATATGAGATGATATTTGTGGAAAAGGGTAGGATGTCCACGCTGGCATCAGGATACTTCTTGTCTGGAATCCAGATATTGCACTTTGTCCTTTGCACTTTTCCCTTTTTGCCCCATCAGTTTTCCCCTCCGAAATATCTATCCCCAGTTTCTATCGTTCACACGTCACCTGATTTTCGCAAAATTTCTCAAATTTCTCCTCACAATTGTTACCCACACACGCTGATTCATTGGAATCGCTTGATTTTGCTCTACAATTCGTTGTTATGGGAGACGAAGTGAGAATTTCCGACTATGATGTCGGCGGTGCAGATGACGACGGCCGAGTTTTGGAGTGGGAGGTTGGGTTGCCCAACGTCAACGATTTGCCGTCGTTGTCACAGTTGCTGATATCGGCGGAACTGGCATATGCTTTCAGCATCACGCCGGAGACTCACCGGAGTATGAATGACGTCGATCGCGCTTCTCGCGACACACTCGCGAGTCTCCGAGGGCAGTCGCAGCATCTGATGAATAAAATTAATGATTTAAACTCGTTTAGTGATGATAGAGGAGAAGAGATGGTTGTGGAAGGCGAGGAGACCTTGGATCTGACTCGAGAGGGTTCGGATTCGAGGAAATTACGGAGAGTTGATAGTGGCGGTGCCGTTGGTGGCGCTGGAGAAGCAGATGATTCTTCGACCAAGACATCGAAACGGACTCGTTTGGTTTGGACACCGCAATTGCACAAGCGGTTTGTTGAGGTTGTTGCGCGTTTAGGGGTGAAGAACGCGGTTCCTAAAACGATTATGCAGTTGATGAACGTTGAAGGTTTGACGAGAGAGAACGTCGCCAGTCACCTTCAGAAGTATAGGTTGTATGTAAAAAGGATGCAGGGGTTATCTGACGAAGGGTCGTCGCCTTCGGATCACTTGTTCGCTTCAACTCCTGTTCCTAAGGGTTTGCACGATTCCGGTGGCGGTGGTGGAAATGGAAGTGGAATGCCCTATCCACCACAGCTGGTGCCTATGCCCTACCCACCACCGCAGATGGTCCCTAATCCGGCAAGTGGTGGCGGCCGTGCTTATCATCATCACGGTTTCGAGTCACATTCACATCCATATAATTATAATATTATGATGCAGCCAAGAGACTGGTCTGGAAACAATTTTGGTTCAATTTCAGCGTATCAGCACCGTATGACTTCTAACGATGAATAGAAATTCTATATCCAATTTGGATAATTATCCAAGCAAAGAGAGGTGAGATTTTCGTTTGGTTTTTTGTAAACACTTGATGAAAGTTGGCTTAATGCTCTTGCTCTGTTACCTTTGTCTTATCTTATCTGATCGGAAATTTCAAGAAATCAAGTCTGTAGGCAGCTTGCCGACTTTCCGTAGTTCGATAAATAAAGTAAATCAAACCACAACAAATCACATGTAGGAATCAGAAGTGACAAAGCAAACATTATGTATAACGGAAACGAATATAACAATCAATGAATGAAATGTTGCTATACAAGTTATACAATGAATGAAATGTTGCTATACAAGTTATACAATGAATGAAATGTTGCTATACAAGTTATACAATGAATGAAATGTTGCTATACAAGTGTTCAGATAATAGCTTTTTAGTGTCATTTTTCAATAACTTCAGCAATAACCTGGTGATCTGTTTCCATGTGAACACTGCAATATTTTTTGTTTATTAACCTGGATATCCAATCCGCTATGCGATCCGACTCGACTAATTCCAGGGCAACCACCTGCTTTGTGGGCCCGAAATCACTGCCTTTGAACCTCCATGCCCACAAGGGGATTTTTATTCCTCCTTGAATTTGAACCTGAGACCTCCACGCACTTTTGATCAATGGAGCCAAGCTCAAACCAATCAGCACCACTCTTTTGGATTGGTGTTTGCAGGGTATCTCAGTGATTTTTCTACATTCTTTGCTTTCCAAGTAATTGTTAAATTTCATTGTCGGTTCCTGTGATATTACTCAGGCTATCTCTATCTTATGGTTGATTTGGGAGGGAAAAATGGTTGGCAGCCTTGTATTTTCTAATTTGGGTGTGTATTCTGAAGACCCAAAAAACCATATATGAGAGAGCTAGCTAGGGTATAACTTTGGCCTGCCTATGCACCCTTAATAGTTCATTGGCAATATACAAAACAAGAATGAGATTCTAACTTAGAAACTCTTAAGTAATCCTCTGCAAGTTTCAACAACTTGAGCATGCCCAACTGGGTGGTAGTCTTGAAACAGTACATATACCCTCTGTGCTGCTAAGTTCATATGCAAACTTGAACTGTTAGTCTACAGATTATCTGTTAGCCGAACGTGGTTTTACCTTATCCAGGCAAGTTATTGGTTTGTTTGCCTCAATCTAAAGACCTGAACCAAGTATTTCTTGAGTTTCTTCATGGTGTGATTCATGATTAGGCTGTAAAGATTTCAGAGGATCTACAACATTCCAAGTTGGTTGCTTGAAAAATTATTCTTATTGTCGTCTGTCTTAGTTTAGGGCATAACATGATCATGTTGATCAGCATATTTCGTTCTTATGTGTTAGAACTTAGTACATATGAACTGCATCATTAATCAAGTTAGTTAATACTTGATGGAGTAAGGCTCTGCAGACCAACATCATGGCTCAATGTTTTTTCCTTCTTATAAAAGGATGGTTCTTCTTCATCCTATAAGAAGCATCATACCAACATCCATCCGTGGATGTGGACAGATTGCTGAATTACATAAAATACGATCTTTTTGGTTCTGCATTGAAACGGTAAGTTTGGGAAAGTACGCTATACTTGAAATCTCCTTCTGTGGTCCTTTAATATAGATTTACCGGTAGACTTGTGCCTGTCAGGTTGCATCAAAATATTTGTAGAGAAAGAGAGGCGAAGTCTGCTGTAACTTGGGTTTATCCAATGATCAAGTGAATGCTATCTCGACTATTCAGTTGCATTCAAGCAGAAGATGGTTGCTGCCACATTGCCAAGGATTATTAGGTACATACATAATTCAAACTTTATTCATAATGTTGCTTTTATGTTTTCAATTGAGTTTTGGTACCATTATCAATATTGATGTTTGGTTTGTTAAACAATAAAGTATAAGAATTAATAATACATTCTTATTTCTATCATAAGGAGTCAAGAGGAGGTGTCAGTTACGTACAATCCCTGACATTAGATCCAATTAGTGAAACATGTGTCTGTGCAGTCCATGATCAAATTATGTAGAACTATGCACTAATAGGTAGCAACAATACTCGAAAAAGTACCTAAAAGTCTTAAAACAATGGGTAAAACCAGGAATAAAGGGGGAAAACGAGGTCTTTGAACCGAGTGAATATGATGCATTTGAAATTTAAGCCAAGGGTGACCCCAAATTCCAATTGGTCTGGAAGCGTCCGACCCAAATCTCGTTACAAGGATCAGATAGAAAGCCATGTCGATAAAGTTATACCGGTGGTCTTTCTAGTTTGAAGAGCAAGTCTAAGGGGTGCTCGACACCTATTCCTCTAAGAACATGTCCAATAGTTATGCTAGATTTTTTTCTAAAATAGAGTATTAAAAAAATTATATCCTAACTTGAAATGCTACTTTATTTTAGCAAATTTAGCATTAATAAATATTCAATACATTTAATAAAATATTATTCTTCTCTTTTAAATATTTATTTTGAATACTTCTTATTCGTATATAGAGTTCTATAAATTTCTCCAAATTTAACCACAAGGGTCGTGCATTATTGGTTTGAGCTTGGCTCCAAAGGTCAAAAGCACCTGGAGGTCTTAGGTTCAAATACAAGGAGGAATAAAAATCTCTTTGTGGCCATGGAGGTTCAAATGCGGTGACTCTGAGCTATCTGCAAAGCATGTGGTTATCTGGGATTAGTCGGCTCGCATAGCGGGTTGGATATCCAGGTTAATCAAAAAAAATCTCCAAATTTGGAGATTTCCGCTATATCTATTTTAACATAATTGTTGGTACAAAAATTTGTTAAACCTTCAAAATCTCTATTTTATCGTAGCCATAGAATATGAATGAATGACCTAAATCCCACTAGAAAGACTAGTTAGAAAAAACATGTTACAACACTACATGTGGAAAAGAATGATATATAAAAAGAAACATAATTAAACATGAAAAACATGTTTAATAAGAGGATGAAAAGGACACTACACCTTTTGAAAAACCTTAACTTGAAGACTTACTCAATAGAATGAAAAAAGGAATTAATTCGGTGTTTGGGATTGCTTATAAAAACAACTTATTGACTTATTTCAGTATGATACCGGTAATAAGCATTTTTGAGTGTTTGGATAAACAACTTATACCGGTGTCAAACCAGTAATAAAGAGTTTTTGAATACGTTAAATCTTTCTGACTTGTAATAAGTTGATAAATGTTTTTGTAGAAAAGTATAAATTGTTTCAAATAAGCAATCTCAAAACACCTTATAAGTTGGAGAGACTAATAAAACATATTGTATTAGTTTTTGAAGATAAATCATACAATATTACTTGATATTTGAGGAAACAACCAGTGAAACAATATAGAAGCAAATGAAAGCATTGAAATTAATGATGGATACAACTAAGAATGCTATGCTATAAATCACGGATCATTATGGCCTTCAGCATGCGACTACGTTGGCAAAGGATGGGTTTAATTTGTCTAAATACAAGAATTGGCCTCCTTTAGCCTCAGGTTATTTAGTGAGTCAAAAAATGTCCTCTCACATTAATGTCCTTGGAGACGGGCTCCGTGTGGGACTGGTTGGCATTGTCAGTAATCAACATTTTGCCTAAATTACGAATTATTACGACATAAAGAAGAAATCAACTAAAGATGATAACCCAAGGCCATGATACTCGGACGTTAATTACACAAATAAGCGATTTAGGGGTTGTTAATTAAAAATTTACCGCCTCTTATCGGTAACTAGGGGGTGTTTGATTTGATGCATTGGTTTTAAGGGATTTAAATTTCGTAGAAGGACTTGGAATTAGAGGGATTTGGATTTCATAGGATTTTGAATCTTTGGTTTGTAGAATTGGAACGAAATTGACTTTTCATTTTTTTTTATAAAAAGATTACAAAAACCAAATTATAAATAATTGATAAAAACAAATTATAAAAATAATTAAATTACCTTTATTAATTGATTATTACAAAACAAATGATTTTAATATATTTTAAAATATTATTACATACAAATCCTATAAAATCTCATGAAATACCAATGTAGGATTTCAAAGCCCTATATTTGTAGAATTTCAATGAAATCCCACAAATTTCAAACCAGGAAATCTTTCAAATAAACATATGATTAGAATGAAATTCAATTCTAAATCCTTTTAAAGCTTATCCAATCTAATCCGACAAATCAAACATAATCTTATCGTTTCTTACCAGGTAAAAAATGATTGGTATTTACCAATAATATTATTATACTATTTTGTTAACCAAGAAACTTACCCGAACCAAAGGGCCTTTGGCCTAGCGGTATCGTAACCCTTGGCCTTCTATGAGGTCAGGGGTTCAAACCTCACCATAAGTGAGGAGGGTGTGTGAGTTTATTTGTTGCATTTGCCGTATATAAATATTATATACTTCAAAAAAAAAAAAACTTACCCGATAAGTAACGATGGTTGCTCTTACTTCATTAACGCTTATTGTATAAGAAACGTTTACATGAAGCAAGTTGAAAAAAATATCCTTTGAGATCAATCATGGTCTAAACAGATTCAAACGTGTGTAAAGTAATATTGAAATTAAAAATAGGTAAAGAAAGCAATGGAGTTTGAAGAGAAAATGGTAGTCAAAATAGTCTGCCTCCCATTTAGCCCATCACTTCCATGCTCCAAATAATGCATTTGCTACTTGCTACCATCCAATATTTTATCATCTATACATGAAAAAGAAAAAGAAAAAAAAAACATATATAATAAGTTAGTTAAGAAATCGATGTTGTTTTGAATAATCAAAGCAACGAGTTGAAGCGCGCTATACATTTATGTCACGATGTTATGCCACTTATAGAATGGCACGTAGCAGTTCTTGATTATGTACCTTTACATTCTTCTTTTTAAAACGTCTATGTGACAAAAAGTTGAATTCGACAACCAAATCACATTTTGGTGGAGATAAAATAATGTGAACTTGATGACTTCAATTTTTATGATGAAGAGGATGCTAACAAGAAAGAAAACTTAACATCAGTTACAACCTTTTTCTTCAATAAGATTCGACTTCTTTCCTTTTTGAAATTCAAAATATATTTATAAAATGAGGTATCTGTAATATAATAAATCATTTATTTTACGTCGTGTTCTCAAATTTAAAAAAAAGTAAAAGAAAAACAGGAAATGAATAAAAATAGCTTTTATTTGTGTTTTTGAAGATGAAGGAAAGAGAAGAAAACCTTAAATAAAGAAAACAAAAGATGTCATTTTCCTTTTAAATATACCCTTACTTTTTATAACAGGTTGTAACTTATGGGCCGTTTACCGAACGTTTACTCGGGTAAACACTTACCAAGTTACGTAAACTTACCGGATGAATATGGTAAGGACCAAGAATCTTACCCGATAAAAACGAAACAAGGACCGAAAGTCTTACCCGGTAAGTGAGAGTAACAACTCTTACCACGGTTAGTGTTTACCGGGTAAATTGTTGCATACGATGTTTTCGTGGACTAAAATCTTGTCCGGTAAATAAGCAATAGTGTTGAATTTCATAAGTAAGCGCTTACCGGGTAAGTAATTAAGTAAACGGCCTATTAGAGATTCTCTGAGCCCACTAGACCCCATTTGCAAAAGAAGCCCTTTATAATTTATAAGTAATTTTGAAGGGAAAAAAAGCTATAACCGAATGTTAACTCTTTTTTTTAATCAAATCAATTCATTTTTAAATAAATAAGTAAAAATATTAGCCTCCAACTAAAGGTTGGATTTAGATGAAAAAGGTAAGAAGATATTAATTAAAGATCTACATTAATATAGTGTACTGAAATGTATCAAATTAATTCTTGTGATAAACGATGTTTATGAAGTGGGATTGAGATTAAAAGTAATCATGTGTTTTTTTAAGCTTCTCGCCTTGAACTCTTATTCTTACACGACCATTCGTTCTAAACTAATTGGTAAGATTTTCAAAATCAAAACTAGCAAATTTTAGAGTAAACCACAAATTTGGTCCATGTGGTTTGTTAGAAATTATATTCTCCGTCTTTACAATTTCAAAATTACAATATGACCATTGTGGTTTGCAAAAATATTTAGATGATGTCCCTCGCTCCAACGATTGTTAAAAATCCATTCAATAAGGGGTAGTTTTGTCTTCTTCATCAAACTTTTGTCTTTTTACCTAATCAAAATCAATTTTATTATTTTGGTTCTTGTGGTTTTTTATTGGGTAAAAGGCGAGAAATCAATAAAATAACGAAAATGCTCCTCATTAACAAAATTTCTTAACAGTCATTAGAGGGAGAGGCCAAAACCGAACATTTTTAGAAACCACAATAATCATGTTGTAATTTTCAAACTATAGAGACGAAAAGTATTTTTTTTACAAACAATTTTTAGTTTACTCTAAATTTTATTTTTAATGTAAATATAATTTGAGCTAATTTATTTTGTGTGGGTAATAAGGTCATTTCCACCAAAGAATTAGATGGTGATTTGCATAATTTAAGGGAAATTTGGCTCTATTACCATTTATTTCAACCCCGTGTGGTCATGGTGGGTGAAAAGTTTATAAAAATCATATTTTATTTCATAAAAACTTTCATTTTCTAATCTATTTTTTTTATAATTTATTAAAATGTTTCTTGGATCATTTTAATACCATAAACTACTTATCTTTCATAAACAAGGACTATTGGTTGGATGATCAAGAATCAAAATAACACAATACATTGGTTCGTTGTACAAGGGATGTCCTCGTACACATAACATCCGGAGTTTGGGTTGAACGTTGTCACCTATGACTTAAATGTATCGTCAAACGTTAATTCTTATAGAATAGGGGGTGTTCTTGCTTCACCTTAACTCTAACGAGTATATAGGTGTTATACTCATTCCAAATGATTCCTTTTTGGCAAAGGAAAGGGTGATGGTACGGTACGCTCGTACTAAAACTTGTGATTGTCTGGAACGAGTAATAAACAAAACAAAACAAAACATAAAAATTCATATCATATTAAAAAAAATTGCAAATTAAAACAACAAAAATGTATAAAATGAAAAGAATATCGAAGAATCAGTTTTGGAGGCCCTTTTCAAAGATTCAGATAAAGTGAACATTTTAACATCGATAAATAAATGACCTTCTTAAAAACTAAATTTAGGAATCTAACATCCGATGCATTCTATGTTTTTATGGAAGAATATTGTTTTAAACCAAATTGAATTCATTAAGAAGATATGCATATCAAGTTAATATGGTTGACATCGTTGTCTTTCACCATCTAATAAACACGACACGTTATCAAACGTTCATAGTTTCCTTACAAGAAGGTCCTATCTTCATTTCCCATCAAGTAAACAAAGCACGTTATCTCATTTTTATTTCTCAACATGTCGTTATAACAAGACCCACAAAATAGAATATTGAGTATCTAGAATAGTATTAAACTGAGTTAGAACTCGAGTCATAACAAGGTAGCTGTACTGGAAGGTGCGGCTAGATCACCTCATTTTCAGGGAGAGCTAATGCTTGTTGGGTATTTATGGCTACAATACAACAAAACTTGACCTATACGTTTGACAATTCGTATCAAAACAATAAATAGTGGCATTGTATGAATACATGATGTAAACACCCTGGAACTAAAAGCTTCAAATGTGGCCAAAAAGCACACTTTTTTCCTGTACTCCTGCAAGTACTCTCACTTTACTTTCTGGAAAGTGAACCAACCAATCATTTTCCACCTTTTTTTGAAGTAAATCCAATACAAGATTTGCCTGTTTCTAAACTCTTATAATTATGCAAGAAAATGTATTAAACAGAAAACAAGATTACTATAATATATATTGCATCAGATCCTGGTATTACTGGCAGAATCCACCAAGTTTATTGAATGAGTGCTTGGACTGGGCCAGTCTTGTCAAATCTTTCAAGCACACCCATTAACAAACTTAATTCAATTCAAGAATCGAAATAGAAAGAGAAGACACAAATAAAGAAGAATTAAGATGATTATGTTCTGACATAGAATAGAATCAACTTACAGGAATCTACAGATGAACAGAATCAAAACCCTTTAACAAAACGCCATTGATAGAGCTTTTATAGCAAAAGAACCCAGCATTTGTTTGGCTCGAATGGCTGGCTTTTGGGCTTCAAATCAAAACACAAATGAAGGGCTTCTTCACCTTTTTCTTTCCTACCTTTAATTGCACAAAATTGGAATCAAATCTATTTACAAAAAGTTGAGGTTTGAATCAGAACCTGGGAAAGATCTGCTTTGATTCAATTTCTGAACCTGAATCAAAAGGTGCCCTTGATTGCATCCAGTCTCTACCATCTGGACAAACCATTCTGTTCATCTAAAACCCAAGTTCTATTTCGCCTACTTGTCATTCTACTGAAAACTGAACTGGATACACTCCGACTTCTGTTCATTGATGAACCATTAGAATTTGAAGACGACCTTAATCTGCCAAAGAATGAGAACATGTTGCGAAAAGCTCTGCCGAATCCACCTTCTCCTCTAGTCCTTCCCCTTCTTGATTCCCACATGATCCTCCTTGGCGTACCTGTACTGTTATTGAACCCACCGTCCATTTCTGTGTAGACAACCGGAAGCTCTCTCTCTCCACCGCCGGCTCTTCTACCCCCGGCAAACCTTCCAACTGCGAATCCACCGCCAGGTAATCTCCATATTGTCAATCCAACTGTTGCTGATTCCTCTTCGTTTTGCTCCGAGAGTTGTAGATTGTTGGAATTTGTTGAATCTGTTGGAAGTTCTTGTCGGCAAACAGGGCAAGAGTTTCGAAGAGCTAGCCATGGGAGAATGCAATTGGGATGGTAGATGTGTTTACATGGCATCTCACGAGCTTCAGCTCCGAGAACGAACGCTTCTTTGCAGACGGCGCAGTGCAATTCGCTGCTGACTTGTACATCCGAGATCTCTATTGCAGGCATCGACTCAACCGCCGCTTTAGACGCCGGTGGATGTTCTCCACGACCTAATCCGTTAATCTCGATCTGCGATAACTGATCCAGCAACCGGTCAAACCCTGACCCCATCAGAAACTCCGACATCGTCGGCGGCAAAGGCTGCAATCCGGAACCTGCTCCGTCATCATAGTACAACTCAAAACCTCTGTCTCCACCCCCTGAATTTTCATCATCGGTACCTCGAAGAACAATAACCGGATTAAACGGAGACCTGTCCCCTGCGTTTCGGCGGCGGAGCCTCAGATCTGAGCGGTCAGGAAAAGGGCGGCGAGATTCGGGTGTTGAAGAGTCGACGGCTTCAATGAATTCGCCATGGCAGTAAGGACAGACAACGGCGTCTTGGGGGATTATTCTGACGATGCGTGTACATCTGTAACACCAGTAGGAGGCGGTCCTGGACATGTTGACCAGCCGGTTGACCGGTGGGTATCGGAGATCCGGTATGAGAATGGAAGTGTGTGGAAAGGGCGCGCACACATATACCGAAAGGATTGATTGGAGGAAAGTGAGAGGAAATTTGGTGGTATTTCACGCGTGATGATATTGATGATGGTGGGTGTCTTTACTTGGCTTGGCTTGGCTCGGCTCCGCTCGGCTCGCCGACGTCAAAACCGTTTTCTATTTTCTTTTATGAGTGTACATACACACACATAGGTGGTATCAAAGAATATACCTATCCCACTTGTATACATATAAAAATAGGGACACTTATCTATTAATAGCATTTTCAACATATTTTTTTTTTTATGACAACATCTCCAACAATTATGTTAAAATATAAAATTTTGGTATATTTTTGTTTCAACGACTATGCTATACCGTATATTAAAATAGAAAAAAGATGAAAGAAATCCTTAAAACTTCGTATAGCATTCCCCTAAAACGTGAGTTTGTATGTACAGAAACATGTATATCACTACAACAAAATCGGGTTTATAGGACACTCTCAACTTCTAAACGTCCTAATAAACCTCTTTATAGGACTTAGTTTATAGGACCAAAAAAATAAAGTGTCCTATATAAAGGCGTTGTAATAAGTTTATATGACCACATGGATCGCCCCCGGGGGCGATCCGTACACTATGGGGGCGATCCCCCCCTCCCCCCATAAGTCTTTAAAAAAAATTCCTCAAAAGTCGAGATTACTGTTCATCCTCTCGTTGACCGTGTTTGACCTCGCCCCGGGGCAATCCGTACTGTACCCGAGGCGATCCGAGTAAAAAAAATTTATTTTTTTGATTTTTTTTCTAATATCAATTTCACTATAAATACCAACCTCCTACTTCATAATTTTTCACACCTTCCCTTCCATTTTTTTCTCATATATTTTACTCTCACAACTCTTAACCCATTAAACACAATAAACCATCACAACCTTTAACCCGTACGCATATTTACGTAAAAAAAGCGATATAAATTGCGGAGGAGGGTGGTTGTTGGCGGAGGAGGGTGGTGGACGGCAGCTCTTGACGGTGGTCGTTGGCGGCGGAGGATGGTTGTTGGCGCCGGAAGGTGGTGAGGGGCGGCCGATGACGGTGGTCGGTGGCAGCGGATGGTGCCCGACAACGGCGGATGGTGACTGACGGCGACGGACCACGGTGGTCGGTGGCGGCGGAAGGTCGCTGATGTCGTTATACGGTAGTCTATGACGGTATGTCGAAGAATGGCTTCGATATTGGTCGGTGGGATGGTCAAAGCTCGGTTTTTCGCTCGGTTTTTTTAGAGAAAACGGACGGTGGGATAGTCGGTGGTGGGGATGAATGGTCCCCCACGTCCAATTTATATGAAACGTTAAGTAATAAAACAAAATCATCGTCAAATCAACGTCAAATCGGCGTCAAATCGACGTCATAGAGTTTTCATATCATGAAAAACCGCGAAATCAGATATAATGTCTTATTTTTTCTCCAAAAATCAACTAAATATTTTTTTTTCGTAACCACAATTATCATCCGGTTATTTTATAACGAAAAACCGTGAAATTTAAAATTAAATACGTAAAAAGACACACTTTATGTATTTTTTTCATTTTTATTAAAAACACCCCTTAATTATACAGATAAAAATAATTTTTGCTTCTCCATAATTATAAAAGTTTATTTTTAAACCTTTACCCATGAAATTTGGTTCTAAAAAAGTTAAAAAATACAACTTCAATGGCGTATCAGTTTTATTAAAAATACCAAAAAATGAAAAAAAAATACAACAATTATCATCCGGTTATTTTATAACGAAAAACTGTGAAATTTAAAATTAAATATGTAAAAAGACACACTTTATGTATTTTTCCATKTTTATTAAAAACACCCCTTAATTGTTAAATAAAAAACACAAAATGACAAAATAGAGGTCAAATTTCGTCAATTTGATATTATATCTGATTTACGAAACCCAAAACAGATAAAAATATTTTTTGCTTCTCCATAATTATAAGGGTTTATTTTTAAACCTTTACCCATGAAATTTGGTTCTAAAAAAGTTAAAAAATACAACTTCAATGGCGTATCAGTTTTATTAAAAATACAAAAAAAAAAAAAAAGCCGGATCGCCCCGGGTACAGTACGGATCGCCCCGGGGCGAGGTCAAACACGGTCAACGAAGGATGAACAGTAATCTCGACTTTTGAGGAATTTTTTTTTAAAGACTTATGGGGGGATCGCCCTCGTAGTGTACGGATCGCCCCCGGGGGAGATCCGTGTGGTCATTCCGGTAAAACCTCTAAAATGTGGTTATTTTGTGGCAAAGGGTTGTGTAAACCGGTTATTTTTATAAATTTCCCTACTTTTAATATAAAGCGTCTCATTAACAACTTTATAGGACATTATTTGAAAAATTGTCCTATAAAAACAAATGTTCTATAAAACATTGATTTTATATGACACTTTCTCAAAAGTGTCCCATAAAGTTGCTAATGCGACACCTTGTATTAAAATTGTCTTAAAAAACTTGTTAATACACCTAAAAGTGTCATATAAACTTATTACAACATCTTTAGATATGACGTTTTATATTTTGGTCATATAAATTAAGTTATATAAAGCGGTCTATTGGAACACTTAGAGATTGAGTGTGTCCTATAAACCCAATTTTGTTGTAGTGTATAGTCCGACCACATTCAAACTAAACCACCAAAAATCCTGCACTCACACCATCTTACCGGCCATGAAGAGTGCATCGCCAAATATGGCAGTCTCCCTCGTATTTTGACAGTTGGAGTGATTTGGGCAGCAAAAATGAAGGTTTATTGGGTTGTGGAAGATGCTCTAAGAGGATTCGTAACGGGGTTTATGCATTCTTAGCAAGTGTACCATATACAGTAAGCAATATTATGAGTTTCCTCGACTAACCAGATAAAAATAGATAGATAATTATAACTGGTTGTATTGGATCGAATTGGATTACTATATTCTTAATATCCACAAAGTGGATTGGTAGTTTGTTGAATATCAACTCAAATCTAATAAATCGAGCTGGTTCAAATTTAATTATCAAGGATGAAAGGTTTATTTTATGGGAAATGTTGTATCTGGTATTTTTATGTTACTTACTCATGATTTTTGTTTGTGTTTGTTTGTTTCTTTTGATTTATTGCTCATCGTTTTGTCAATATTTAGAGTAAACTACAAATTTGGTCCCTGTAATTCATTGTATGTAACAATTTTGGTTTTTACAGTTTCAAAATTACAAATTCATCATCGTGATATGAAAAAACAACCGGGATTTGGTCTCTTTCTCTAACGACCATTAAGTAATCTCGTTAGATAAAGGGTATTTTAGTCTTTTCATACTTTTATCACAGTTTTCTTCAATAAACAAGAAATTGAAAAGTCATGGATCATTAATATAAATAGTTTGTTTTAGGGAACAAATCCAAAATTTAAGCATACCATAAGGACCACCAGTATAATTCACGCTACATTTTATTTATTAGAAGTTTCAAAATGTTCTAATTTAATATATAAATCTATTTTTTATAATATGAAATAAATTAATGGGTACCAAAAAGTTGATTGTAAGTGGATATATATATCCATTTGTTAAATACATCGATTGACATCTATTCATGTTTTTTTACATTTTTAAAGTAAGATGAACTCAAACTCTGCCTATATATCAAAACTCGTACTAAATCATAAATTAAGTGCATGCAATGTTTTTTCCGTATTTATTAAGGCTACTTATAAATACATGTGAATGGTCGTTGCAAAAACCGTGTGTTTTTGCTTTTTTACGAGGCTTATGCGTTTAGCCATATTGGTACGAGGCTCATAACTATATAAGATCATCTCCAAAAGAGTTTCTATCAATTTTTAAAAAGAAAAATTGTAGCTCAAAATCTATAAAAAAAATTACGACCAACTCCAACAATATCTATGTTTTGAAAATTCAAACATTAATTATAAATTAAATTATTCAGAGCGTTTAATACTTCAATGAACTTTTAACCAAATTCGAGAGTGTTAGGGGAACAACTAAAAACACATTCGTCTACCTTGACATAAAACGTTAAAGAGATCTTTAAAATTAGAGATGCTTTAAAATACATTCTTCTCCTGCCACCACTTCCGCCACCACCCCTATATATTAAAAAAAAATATGTTGGAGATGCTCTAACAATCTTTAATGGTGGTGTTCGTTAACATCGTTAATATATGTGTTAAAAAGCAGTGTTCTAAAAGCTCGCTGCAATAGATGTTGTGACTCACGACTTGTGTTTAATGCTACGCTAAACTCGCGATATATCATGGTCTAATGTATGGTTTTTGTTACGCCGTTTATGATTTTTCTTACATTTTTAACGTTTTACTTGTTAGCTTTTAATATATACCATAATTTTAAATTACTTAACTATCATTGACTAATTAGTAATATTAGAAAATATATGTTTATATATATAGTATTATATATAATATAAAGATTTGTTACCATAAATCATGCTTTAAAAAATCATAACCTCCTAACTCCTAAGACTAAGGAGTTGTTTGTTTATCTCTTAATAGTTCCATTAAAAAACAACATCTGAATCGTGAAAAGGTGAATTTTATTTGACAAAAAAAAAATAGTTTGTCTCTTAGGGTGCGTTTGGTACACTAGACATGGACATAACAGAACAGAACAAAGATCTTTGTCCCATGTTTGGCATGAATTTTATGTGGAACAGACAGGAATAGAATGAAATAAAGTGGAACAGACTTATATTTTACCAATATAACCTCAAAATAAAACTTAATTCTCTTCTAAAATATCAAATAAGTCTCTTTTTTACATTTTATTCATTCTTTAAATTTTATTTATTGTATTTTATGTTTCTTAAA